AAAAGCATAGTGCACTCAAAGATTAATGCACTACGCCCATGTCTGATTTTTTTTATTAGTGCACAAAATAATTGGTGACTACTCCAATTAAGCAGGTAAAAATTTAGTATAGGTTCACTTAGACATATAGAATGCATACAATTTATTATTCAGATATGAAGTTAGAGTTATAGCGCAAAAACACATATCTGAGAAATCAGTTGTATTGGAGCTATACGTTAAAGTGCACCCATTTCGTTAATTTTAAGGAATAATTAAGGTAATATTAAAAAACCTTTATGTGCAAAATTTTAGTAAAATAACTTCAAAACTGAGCTAGTTATTTATAAAAAAGTTAAAATTTAATAAAATTTTCAAATACCGTTATCTTGAAAACCGGAGCCAATCTGGTAAAACGGGGGATGCCATTGAATTTAGAACGTCCCAATTATGTGACTTTAACTTTCAAAATCTTTGCTCAAAAATTTACAACTTCAACAACGTAATTTGAACCCAGCTTTAATCATTAATCGATTTATTAAGAGAATATGAATAAAATGCTATATAAAAAATAGGTGTGCAAATTTAAAAATTAAAATTTTTTGGACAGTCTACCAGGGACGTGAACCGGTTTTGAACCGAACCGGTTTTGAACCGGAAAACAGCTTTTTTCTATTAGTTAACTGAACCATTAACCGAACCGAAATTTTCCACAAATGTTTGATCCGAACCGAAAACCGAACAACTTTCCATAACGGTTTAAAGATTCGTTTCAACCAATTTTCAATAGATAAATGTACTCACTTTTTTTTCTTTTTATTAAACATGGTAATACTTACCATGTTTGTTTACCATGTGACAATATATAATGTAAAGACAACCCATCTCATTTGACAGACACTTGACCCTTAACCTTGCGCGTTGTTGCACTTGACACTGGACACTTAAACTTGCGTTTTTTTTTTGTTTTTCGAACCGTTGAGCCGAACCGAAACTCCGGTTCAAAGACCAACAAAACCGCTTTGACGAACCAATCCAAAAGTGCACAAACGGTTCGAACCGCTGAACCGAACCGACCAAATTTTTCACCCGGTTCAAGCTAACACGTGTTCGAGGAATTGTTTTTTATATTTTTTCTTCGGAGATATGATTTATCAAAGTTTTAATTTTTTCGTGATTCTGACGAATCATGTACTTATTCAAACCGTTATATCTCGGGTTCTGCTCATCGCAGAGACTTCATCTTAACGTCGGTTTAAAGCTAAAGAAAGGCTTAACATTTCTTAAATAAGATCTGCATTTTGCAAACTTAAGTCCTGCGATTGCCACGCCCATTTCTAGGGGTTTTTCGCCTTAAAAAAATGGTGCCGTACAAATATTATACCTGGATAGGCATTCTATCGGAGTCTGCAATAAAATTTAAATTCTTGCAAAAACTCTATTTTTAACACCTTACTAAATATATCTCAACATAAGTTTTCGAAAACAAATTACAAAAAATTGTTGATTCTCATAAAATAAACCATCTTGCCATAAAGAAAAATATTTTAAAAATGGTTCTTGAAAAACTCCCATTTTTTTAAACCACGTTTTTTATAGAGAATCAAACAAGGATTACGATGGTATAATTTTAAATCCCTAATTTACTGGTCTTCACTATTCAAATCAACTTCAAAAAGTTCAACTGTTAATAGCTAAATTATCTTTAGCACAATCTTGACCATCTTATATGAACAAATGTTAAGCCAGTTTCTTTAGATTTAAGACGACTTTAAGATAAAGTCTCTACGATGAGCAGAACTTTAAATTTTGATCCACCACTGGTGCCAACTAAACACAGGGGATGACGGAAATTCGTTGCAAAATAAATCATCCTCCCACCCAGTCGGAAAACTCAACCCACATCAACATACAAGTATACATTACATAAATGACACATAAGGGTACTTACAAATAGAGTTGTATGAAAAGTCGATAATTTTTAATCCTTTCAAATTCCTTAAGCTTCCAGACTTTAATTCAAGAATTTCATTCCGTGACATGTCCAAATCTTCTAAGACTAATTGTTCCCGAAGCAAACCAGGCGGAAAATGCTTTATTCTATTATCACTAAAATTGATAACAATCAATCGTTGAACGTTGCAAAATAAATTTATTGGTATTTCGGATATTATATTTTTGCTAACATCTATTAAGTTCAGATTGCGAAGCTTCCAGAATGTTACCGTATTCAAATTTTCCAGCTGGTTATTTTGAAGACGTCTTGCGATATGAACATTTACAAGAGTTAATGCAATAAATGCCAATAATAAGCAAACTTACTTACAATTGGATAAGGCTATCCAAATCCTTGAATAGCTCAGCTGGTATAAAATTAAGAATATTGTTAGAGAGATCAAGTTCTTTCAGCAGTGTTAAACCGCGAAATGTGTCCTTGTGTAGTGTCGAAAAGAAATTCCGAGAGAGATCGCTGAAAATAGAACAAAACACGAGTATTAGTCTATATCGTCACTAGACACGAATAGAGGTGCACTAATGTTTTGACGGCGAAAAAATACGCTTAAAAAAAATTAAGAAAAAATACGCTTAAGAAAAACTTCGGCGAGGAAAGACGGGTATCCTAGTTGATTACGAACAAAGACGCGTAAACGTAAATTTATACCTGGTCAAGGACTGTCACTTAAGCAGCATGCCCCAAAAACTCTCTGGGAAATTTACATACTGTTACACCCACTAAACTAAGTTTTCCCGTCTTTCTGTGCCGTCAACTTTGCAGAGTCTTTCTTCGCTGCCTTTTTTATGCCTCTTTTTTCGCGGTCAACTTTTGAGCTTGCGTCTTTATTCGTGTCTAAAGACGATATATGATAAAGGTAATTACACTAGCGCACACAAGGGGTGGGTTTAGGGGTTCAAACCCCCCATAAAGCTAATGACCCCAAATGCAAACTGTATCTTTAAGCTAAGAATCCAGCTCTCAAGGAATTATAAGAAATATTTATTATAATTTCTGTTGCTTGAAAAAGCGCTTTGCTATTGCTGTAAATTTTCATGAGGAAATGAATATACAAGCATTTTCTTCTTGAGAGCTGCAAACTGATTTAAGAAATTTTGGTAGAAGAAAATTCCTTTTCCATTTCTCGTCCGTCGTTTTATATGAATTTTTCGTTTTTCTTGAGAGTTCAGTTAATTTTTTCGGTATTCGAAATATTAAAAAAATTTAGAAATCGTGAAAAATCACCATCTCTATCGAAAGCCAGAAATCGGAAAAAGGAACATAAAAGTGCAAAAATTCATGGAATCAATAAATTTATTTTTAATGAGTCATTTTTAATATTTTTTATTAGGTACTTTTGAAAGTTGAGCGCATCTTGAGTTTATAGAACTTTTTATTAAACAAGTAGTTTTTAAGGAAAGAACACAACCGACTTCAATTCTTATATTCAAATTTAGGGGTACCGTTAATTGCTTCATTATCCAATTATCGGATCTCTAAACCAAATTACGGGACGAACTTGAGGTACCACCTTTCCAATAAAAAAAACGATTATTGAAATCGGTTCACGTGGTCCAAAGTTATGTATTCCGGCGAATTGATATCCTCCCCTTTTTTTGAAGTCGGTTAAAAGTGTTCTGTTAATCTTATGTAAATACAGTGCAGTTTATGAACTTTAAAACGTTTATCTATTTATTACATACTGTACATAAAACTTGCATAAATATATTTTAAGGAGCGTATCTTCTATAGGAACTGGAAAAAGTGGGCTGCCAGGTGATCGTCTATGTAGGAGATGTGGAACTTTTGGTTAAGGGACAATTTCTAGATATCCTTTTTGATCTGGCTCAAGGTTGCCTGAACCACGTAAGTAGGTGGGCGATCAACGGCGGCCTCGCAGTAAGTCTCAGCAAGACAGAACTGACCTTGTTTACCAGGAAGTACAAGATACCTGTTGTGGCCCTTCCTTCGAGTGAAGGTGTTTGGCTATTAGGAAACGGGATGGTAACACTCGGGAGTTCTAGAGGGCTTTTACTTCGCCTTGAACACATAGATTACAGCACCTACGAAATGGCTCCCATAATCTCCTTCCCTGCCTATACTTCCTCAAGAGAGGGCATCATGTATGGAAGGGTGTAAAAGAAAATCCGCTTACTTAAAAATGCTTATATGTACGTTAACCAGGCCGGCCGCAAACAAATACAACGCGCAAACGTCAATACTGTGGAGCTGTGTTTTTTGTGATCTGCTTAATTAAATTTTGTGTTTTATGAAGCTGTTTACGCTTAATAAAGTAAAAAATTAAAAAAAGTGTTAATAAACTTCTGGTGCACAATTTAAAGATCAGCAAAATATCAAAATTTCCTGTAAATTTGATTAATTTAACTTGATATTCTTAATTGCATGTGCCGAGTATTTTGTTTCATATAATATATTGTTGTTGTACAATTGTTTTTGTTTCTGTACACTGATCTTGCTCTTTTTGTCATTTCTGCTGTTTCATCTTTGTCACAGCTGTTTGCGTTGTGTTTACTAGGTGTCAAATATACAGTGCTGTAGTTAACGATATATAAATTTATTTAAAAAAAGGTTTAATTTAAAATTCCAAATGAAATTATGTTGTTTACAGCTCAAGAAAAATATTTGAAGTAAGCTAATTTTCTCTTTGATGTTTGAACTACAAAATCACTTAAATATAAAATTTTTTAAATTACAAAGTTGAAATTAACACAGTACAATAAACGACAGTAACACAAATACAAACCCTACAATACTCCCCCTTCTAGAGAATTAATGTTATATAAATTAAAAGTAACTCGTTTCTTATTTGACGTTGTGTTATTCATTGTATTAGTGTTTGTTTCTGGTATTAGTTCTGTTTCAATGATTGCTGGTTTTAGTCTGTCTATCGGAATTGTTTTAACCTCATTATCTACTACAAGTTTGAAATATTTTTTGTGTCTTTCAACAACCTTATAAGGTCCTTCGTATTTGCCAACTCCTCTTGAAAAGAGTTGTTTTGCAAATCTATAAGCGAGTCATTTAAATTATTAGTCCCTGTAGATGTGTGTGTATCATGTGGGGGTGAACGAAACATTATAACACAAAACAATCTCTATAAGGAGTGTTTACAATTTATCCGAAACAAATTAAAAAGAAGATATGATATTAAAAATATATTTGTCAAAAATATTACATACAAAGATACAGCTCAGCACTGTGCTCTGAAACTGCTGATATTAGCAGCACAGTCGACCTGATAGTTGCTGCAACTGCTGTGCCGGTTGCTGTGATTTGGTGTCGTTGTTGCTGCTGCTTATCGCCGGTGTTGATTGCTGCTACTTTTTGCCGTTCTTGTTGCTGCAGCTTGTTTCCGTTGTTATTGTTGTCAGTAATGAACAGACACAAAGTAGACAAGAGATTTTCTCCGGTTGTATG